ACCGCATTTGATGGTCGATCCGCTGTCAACCAACCAGTGTGTCTCTCACACGCCCACACTGGTTCTCGGTTGATCATAGATGGCCGTCTGTGCGTTTGTGTACGGAGTGCCTTGGCCATGGAGTGGGTGTGAAATTTCTGTGTCCCTATTTGACCTTTCTCCGGCACATGGTGAAATCGGACGTGATTCAGACGTGGGGGAATAATTGCACGGCTCTGTTTCACATGATTGTTCCGCTGCGCATTAAGTTGATGCGCGGCCGTATTAAGTATAAGTGCAAGGGAATGAATCTTATCACTCCAAATCTGATTAACTTGTTTCTTTTTCGGTGAGGGAGAGGTCAATTCAAATTAAAAAAATAATACAGAGGCATGTAATCGTACGCCTTTCTGATCAGGCTTAGAAAGTTTTCGTACCAACAATACCTTGGACACATTTGCTTCTGCATTTAGCATCTATATTTGTCGTATATATATTCAGTTCAAAGTAATCCCTCCCACAAATCGAACAATATTTCTTCACCCCAGTGAAAGTGAGACAGACATACCTCTGACAAGTTGCATTTGGTCGCGACAAGAGTACTGACTATATAAATCGAACGAAAGTTCGCAATCTACAAATACACAAAAACGCATCCCTGTGGTCTGCCAGACAGTAAAACATAACTGAAGACATACTGACTGTTCACTTACTTTCACCAACTGTATTTATAAGTTTAGAGTTATGGTAGTTTTGCATTTTACTTGTGGTAACAAGACCAGCGAAGGGGATCGGTCAATGAAAGGTCCAGTCGACAATAGACGCAGAAACTTCAACATGAAACCGGCTTGGTGAACAGAATCAGCATCATCCCAGTGCCTGACACTTCCTTGAACGCTAAAGCGGAATCAGCAGTGACGTTTGGATATTAGTGCCTGTAGAAATGTGGCCGGTTATTTCGTGACTGCATGTGTTGGTTTTGTATCATAGCTCTATTCGGGATATGTGCCATTTTGGTGTTTTAGTCCGATATCAGTTCGATAGCTAGCCGCTACTTGACCTTGAGAGGAAAAGTGTATTTTGAAGGCACGACGAAAAAAGCTCGTGTTAACCTCGGTTGGAAGATTGATCAAGGTAAAGGATGGGCTGTTCTATTGATCTCAAAGACTTAGAATAACAGTACAAGATGTCCAGACGAACCTGACCGCATTAGATACTTTCTGAGTGACGCAACAGAGAAGGGTACACACAAGATCTTGATCCAAACCTATACGAGCCTTCATAAACCTTTTACTGTGCATATTAGTTATTGGGTGGCCCATGTTTTGAACAGGTGTTCCAGTTGGTTTTGGATTGGATTGCTTTGGATTTGCCCACAGCCGTAATAGGACTCCCGAGCACCTTTTCTGCATTCATTCAGTTGTTCATTTGGTTCTTTTACTTGCTGTAGTTTAGTGAACTTCAGCAAAAGATAGGCTCACAACATCGATCTGTACGCACGTGGTCCAGGTGACACTGTCCTTTCATATCGGGTTGTTTTTGTGGTTACTCATACCGAAACAAAGTGAATTTTTGGTTTTGCCACTCCTCTGGAATCTCTGAGGAAATTTGAATACTTGAGAGGGATTCAACCTAATTCGTAGGATATGGATCGCTGCGGGGCAGCTTTTGTGAACCTGCGTCACCTGTGGCGTAGACCTGACATCAGCATATCCCTCAAGGGTCGAGTTTATAATGCTGCGTTGCGCTTTGTACTAATCTACTGATCAGGAACCTGGCCGTTGAGCAATGAAGCCGTCAAAGGCTTTCGGTGTTCGACCACCACTTCGGAGCATTCCTCGACTCTGGTGGGAACACCGGATCGGGGTTGCTGAAATAAGTTGATTGGAATTCGGATTAAATGACACCCACCATAGATGGGCTGATCTTACTGCATTGGTTGCGCTGGCTTGACTGCCTGCTCCGTATGCTAGTCGCTCGACTTCCTCGAAGGGTTCTTTTTGCGGAACCACGAAGCGTAGCAACCAGGCAGCGAAGTTCAGATAGTGACTTGACAGCGAAGTGTGACAGCCATTACCAGCAAACTCAACTGAGCTGGTCATTGCTGTCTTCTTGGATGAGGGCCCCAAGACGGACCAAATCAACGGTTAGAGACATTGTCAGACATGGTCCAGCCCCGCCCCTAATGGCGCTCGTGCATCCGACCCAGTGCCTTCAATGCATAGTTCCCGTCTCTAATGTGCAGCTACCCACCCCAACTCCCCAAATCATCGGTGAGGGAGATAGTGGCAGCTGAGGCCACTGTGAAACAAGTACGCGGTTCTTGCAGCTGACAATGATGATGATGACATGATACTTTCCAGAGTTAGTTATCCGATGCTCCAGGATCTCCGTAAATAATGTCGATTTCCAAAGTGAGGACAATCCAATTTTGTCTATTCCATTTCCAGGTGCATCTTTGTCTTCAGCTCGGTGTTCGTCCATTTCAAAGTTTCAGAATATCATCTGAAATTTTTTAATCATATCTTGATATTTTAATAAATCTTTTCCATTTAAGCGGAGAAGTAGAAACACCGCACACTATTGTCCTGTGCCTCGTGATAGTTAGTTAGCTGAAAGCACAGTGCACCCACATAGCGGGTTCTCGGACCATATTTTGTATCCACATCGTTATCGTTTGAGCAGTTTGTTTTGCTATCCCGGTAAGCTCAAACACCGGAAGCATTGGATTAGAGTTACTCCTTTTTCAGAGCTTCCCTAACTGGGATCGAGATGGCCCAGTGGTTAGAGCGCGAATTTACTGACTCGAAGGTCGGTGGTTCGAACCCGGCCTCTACCTCTTAACTTCCCTTGTCTAGGTTTGGGCAACCTGGCAGTATCCCAGCTGTTGTGCCACCTTCTGGTGGCGTGGCCGTTAGGCAACGATAAGGTATTACAGCTGAACGACTTCCTTAACTGAACCGGCATCTGAACCCGTGACATCCATCATGCGAGGCGAATGTGCGCAAGCTGGACTTACTGGGTCATCATGGGGTGAACGCATTCATACCTGAACTATGTGACTGGTTTCGCCAATGCCTTGAACAAAGACTTAGAAGCTGCTCGGGTCATATCATTCGCCTTGCTCACCTGTCGGAAATTCCTAATCAGTTGGTGCGTTAAATATGCTGTACAGTTTTCAATTGGTTGTAGTTGGCTGTGGGAAATCTAGAATTGGTTGATGACCTTCGATAAGAGCGGAACCCAAGCTCTTTAAGTTTTCTCTTTTGTGTGGAATGACCAGAACAAGTGCGTCAGAACAGGGCGGGGACTCCAACTACTAGGAATTCAACGAGCAATCAGAATTAATCCTCTCTTATTTCATCCCCTTCATCCACATCATTTTAGGCCAGCTTCGGAAATAACGTCTCTGCCGGTTATGCTACATAAGACGTTGTACCAGCATGTGGATCCTTTCGAGTTGAACAACCTGAGATCTTCCCATTTGGAAAGTGAGTTGGAAACGCGTGGATTTTCCCCTATGTTTAAACTTCATTTTCCTAAACATTCAATGGAGGCAACCTTTCCTTTTTAGGCTTCATCATTGCTCGGTTCGGATGTATTGATGCCTTTGTGTGCTTGCCTCAAAAAAATATGCTTCCCACCACTTGGTGGTAGGTGAGGTTTTCAACAGATTCCGGATGACTTTTAAGGGGAACAATACAGATTAGTGAAACCGGGAATGTCGAAAGACCCTTGTGGCTTATGGGTAGATGTCATCCAATTCTGAGCTATAATAAATATGAAGCTGATGAAGCTACGGATGCTAAGCAGATTCTTGAAAATTTCCAGGCTACCTCGTGAAACTTTCAGTCAATTTTTTTAGTAGCCCAAAAATGTTTTTGCCCGTATTCTTCGACGCAAGGAAAACAGACTGCCATAATGGAAACAACGGAAATTTGATATTTTATCTTAACTACTTTAGCACTTGAGAGTAGTCAAAGTATTCTATGTCTGTCACTGATTCACCGTAGATACCAGATTTGAGAATTGGTACGTACGTAGCTGAATTTTGTGTGGAGGAGTCCGTACATTCAGCACTATGCTCACGGCGACTAGACATTCCTCATCCCCCCAGAACTAATTGCCAACCATCAACCGCGATTCTAAAATATCCAGACGAGGTATGTGAGGATAGTGAGTGGACCGAGCAAGAGAATAAGATTAACCCTAAAGTGACACTGAAATTTTCAAGTGCGTAAGGCAGTTCCGATGGCTAAGGCCTTCAGCAGACTAGTCCAATGGGGCTGGCAGCACGTTAGGACCACTCTGGATCCGTGACTTCACGTGATCTGGACATCACGTGACTTCCGGTTACATGGGTAGAATGTAACCGGTGGTCGGCGCTGGACGAATTTCGGTTTTGACTGGCCGTATTTTGTCGGTCACTTTTTTCTACAGTGAGTGCGGAAGAGCTTACAACTTGATCTTTCATTTCAATCGCATTTCTTCTTTTCAGTGAATGAGCAGATACTACTGGACATGGCGAGCACATCCAGGAACGGTTTGACCGACAACAAGGGTATATTGATTGTTTATAACAACCGTCCTTATTGTGAAGTGTGATCTGTTCGTGCAACTGCCGGTGTTACGACCCACTAGATGCATCCTGCTAGTACGCCATCCTTGTAAGTTGGTACTAGAAAGATGTGCCTCCTTTCAGCTGTTATCACAACACTGATCGGTGGTTGAACCATTTTGAGACAGCGGATTTTGCTTTTAGAGTAGGTATTTGCGTCCAGCAAATCTGTTATATCTGCTGATTGGCCGATCTGTTGTATCTGACTGCTGACCCGCTCCAGTGCCTAATGCGGGAAGACTCAGAAGGGAACCCAATAATCATATTCCGAACAACAGAATCCAAGGGCGTGGGTGCGCACGAGTGCAGAAGTACGACGGTCTCAAGCTATTTATTGGAGGGACACTGTCTAACTTGTTCCAGTGCTGACGCACGCGGTCTAGCTTTAGTACGAGGCTGCGACACACTGCATATTGCAGGGGCGTTGTCTGGCCTTGATCAACAATGCCCCGCGCTGTCTGGGTTTGATACAAGTCTGTGGAGCGCTGCATATTGCGGGAACGTTGTCTGTCTGGTCAACATCTAGTGGAACTGGGAGTCGCAGTGGATTTCGGGCCCTCAGTGGCTGCTTTCAGGAGTCTGACCTTCCTGATAAAATCCGGTGTTTATATTCTTCTGACGCCGTAGAAACGCGAACTGACTGTTAAGCGGTTACAATATATAAGACAAAAGTTGAAAAAAGTATTGGTGTTCACCCAGCTCAGTAGACTTACGGTAAGCCGGACGGCTGTCATCTCCGGTTGTCTGGGGATTAATTAGACCCTCGAATCCAGACATTTATTTGAAACTTGAGTGAGCCAAATCAAGAAAATCTATCAATACGACAACTTGCGATCCCAATGAACGTCGATAAAGACATCTTCCAGATGTCCTGTGTAGAGAAGCTAACGAATAATGTGTTTCCTATTGATGCTCTTCATTTTTACTGTTGGGATACGTGTGACTAAATATCGGTTACCTACTTCTAAACCACCTTTTTGTACCCCGGTTCTCAGAAATAAACTTTCACGTCTTTGATACGAAATGAGTCCCAGTGTTTAAAGGGAGGTATTAGAAATGGGAAAAAATCAGCTTTTCATTTGGTGAAAAACTTGCGCCTAAAAGTTTCATCATGACCCTCAGAGTGACAGGTGACAGATGATTAAAATGAGTTATAAAATCTACAGTCCCCTCGTCGGTAGCGGTGTCTCTTTCAAATAAGCGTCGAGTGGACTACTTAAACAAGCAACTGAGGGAGATGAAACTGTAAAGGAAGGAAGGATATTTCAGTTAACATATCCTGAGCAAGAAGAAGTTCCCTTGGCAGCGTAATCCACTAAACTGGTGGGCTAGCTTCAGGTAACGTCCCTTAGAGGTGAACGTTATACACAAGCTCTAGAATGCTTTAACAAATGTGGTTTTGTTTGTTCTGGATTAGTAGACAGAGACTACCCCTGTCCAAAACCATCCTTGGCTCCTAGGATTTCTGATGACCGTTCCTAACTTGTTTGCTCGTTTTAGGATGCTGGAAACAGAAGGAAGACAAGAGTTGCTAAATCCCAACTATTCAATCGCTTTTTTCAGTCGCACCTACAATGACAATGCGGGGACAGCGGCGCGCTTTACATATTCATAGAGGAGGTTTTATGATCGCAACCGGATCATTCTCGACATTCCTTCAGAATAGGGTATTACTTGAGACTTTAGCAATCGCAATGTTAACATCTCGCAACAACTATCATCTCAATATCCTAATGAGCCAGATCAAAAAGATTTACTTTTTCAAGGATCTTCTTTGGTCGGACTGAAGATTGCCTAACCGCCTTTTAGCCATAGCTGTCGAACCTGGATGCAGCGTCTTCTGGTTCACGTCGCCCAAGATGGTGGTCACCCCCACGGAAATCTTTGTCTTAGAATGAGCAGAGTGAGGTCTACTGCATAGGACAACTTGAGAAACCCTTCGAAAGGGTTTGAAAGTTACACTGTACGCCGTTCGACTGAGCCCATGATCCTTTCGCCTGTTGCACTTACTATGATAAGAGTTTTGCAGGTAGGCAGTTGACTGGAGTCTCTGAGTCAACAGACTGAATACAAAAGTTGTGAATCCGAAATGGGAAAACAGCTTTTCGTTAGGCGGTGATGAAAGTTGTGCAGTACACAAGAGTTTGACTGTCGCCTTCAGTACACCCTCGTTTAACAAAGACTGAGCTTTGGCAAAACGTATTGCACATCCAGATATGTGATTCCAGCCAGACACATTCCCCAGACAATCTGTAGCTAGATACGGTATTAACGGTTTTAGGTTATATAATAACCATTTGGCTAGTGTGTAATATAGCGCATCGGAAAGGAACAGAACAGATGTGCAACCATATACTATGGGTCTTGGACTGGCTACGGTGTAAATGAGCTGACCGGATGATAAGCATGACAAAACCTAAGAAGTGCGGTTGTGCAATGTCCAGTTATATATGTCACGTGTTATACACCTGTCCAAATATTAGGCTGAATTCGTCAGTGTTTGATAGGATAACCACCATTTTGGTATTCGTTCCTTATCATTGGCGGGTCTATTTATTGTGTCTCAGCTCTGGAAGGAGCTTTACTTAAGTTCGGTAATGGCTCTGCAGTTCTGCAGTTTGACTGCAGTGGGACACGTGTCCAATAGCAACAACATTGGAAAAGTGTTTTCTCTTTTTCACCTACCCTACAAGGGTAACAAAATGTTTAAGTGCTTTGTGAGAGCTTTAAGAACCGCAGAATTATCGAACCACCCAAATACGACCGTTTTCAAAGACGGGTAGCCCGGCTCAGTTGACAATCAAGGCACATTCATGCATTACTTCCTGCCTCGTTTGCGAAAACCCGGCCAATTTTTAGATGGCGTACAGTGATGCTAGTGGGTGGGGCATAACCTGAAAGTTATGTTTGGACATCAAATATGGAAATGTTATGATGGAACATTACGATGCCATGTGAATCCCATGCCAAAGTTGGGCTAGTTTGGCGGGACCATCGGGAATATGAGTAAATTTATGCGAAGCTTGATCTCATTGTACATTTGATTAAAACTTTAACCATATCCATTTTGTTTGCAGTTCTAATGCACGAACAGAGCTACCTCCCATGTATGCGATGGACCGTGCCAACAATCAGTGCGCAAACGCTGTGGACGGAATTGCGCTTCACGCGTCCCAGAGGAAACCCACAAAAGATATCAATAACCCATGCGCCTATATTCCTCTTCGTAACTATTCTTGGATATGAGGAGCATACATCGCATAACGCGCAATAAATTGGTTTCTATTAAACCTCAGTTGGTGTTTATGTCTTTCCAGATCTATTTTAGGGCTTGATGCGGCTGAACTATGGCTCAGAGTTTTCCTGTTTACATGAAGGAATCGTGGAAATATAAATCAACCAGTCTAAACATCTGTGAGCAGCTTTTATAAGAAAATGATGCCTTACATGAAGTTGTGGGTCACTTTTGATTTCAGAGCGGGAATTTTAGTAAATCAGTCAAAATTTCAAAAGAACCCTCACATATATGTTAGTTTGAAGAACGAAAGCCTTGATTCTATCAAAGTTTATGCTTGTTTACCTATGTTTTACAACCATACAAAGATACCAATTTGCGCAGTTGGTCCCACTTTTGATGGCAGTTGGTCCACGTAGCTATTTTATAAATAGAGAAGAATTAAACGAAACTGGTGTACCAGTGTCAGTGAAGTAAGCAGTGCCCTTGTTACCCAGATTGAGGTCAGTCAGGTCACATCTAGATCCACGCTGTTTGGGTAATTTGAGTGCATACTCATTGTCGTCGCTTCGAAACGGATACATAGAATCTTCCTATCAATATAAGTGTACATTTATTGCTTTTTTGAGTACAGATATTGAAAACATTATTCCCTTACTAAAATTACCTTTTTTGTTTTTCGATATATGCTGTATTTCGTTCTACCTAGGCCATCAGCTC